TACCCGAAGAAGACAGAGCAAAAACTGATGCACGTTCAATTTTAGCTGTGGTTCTTAGTAAAACAGAGGATGGCTTTTATAAACTTGATATTAAAACACGTATTTTAAAAAAATTGTATGCAAAATCTGAATTCAGTGTTTGCAAAAAGAGATTTTTAACGAAAGAAGATGGATGTCCCTGCTGTAGAAATATCTTTACGTCAAACAGCAATAAAACAATTCCTTGGTACTGGGCAGGGTTTCAGAAAATGTGACTGCACATCTAAATGTACCACAAATAGGCGTGCTTGTCGCAAAACCATTTGCTATATAATTCAAAGTGTTACCAATCTTTAGATTGCACTAATAAGTAAGTACAATTTCATCATATGTTTTGCAAATTCATTTCCCTAATTGTAATAATATTTTAAACCGTTTGATTTTTGTATTAAAGTTTTTTTAATTGATTGATGATTGATTCAATCAACTAATTTGTTGATTGTATTAACTTGATTCTTTAGATATTGAAAATTAAATAAAGAACATTATGTTAATTTAAGCGTACAGAAACGTTGTTCCAGCAAAGATCTTATTTTAACTTTACCGAGTGCCTAGTAGGTAATTCGCAGATTACCTAGATAATCTGCAGATTACCTAGGTAATTTGAGAAATGGAATAATTTTAGCAGCTTTAACGGATCACCCTAGTTAATCTGCAGACTAGCTAGGTAATGTACACATTAACGGATTTCGAGCTTTAGCGGTAACATATACAAGACACAAGTGTCCATGTCGTTCTTCTCTGTTGGTTGGCCTGGTACTGGGACTGGGAACATGGAGGCCAAACAATGTTGTTTGGGCGAACTCATGACAAGTCTTGCGTACACATAGTGTAGAACATTACATTAACATGCGATTAGTCATAGTTTCTTTGCTTACTAGATATCTCGTATCAAAATAGAACTGACAATGAGTTATCTTGAACTACACTTAAGTAAATTTCCAAGAAAATGCCTAAAGGCTCTAAACTTTGCGACACCCCAATCATTGCACCTTGGCACCCCGGTTGAAAAACACTGCCTTAGGGGCTACTTTTTTGGTAAAATATAGTCTGCGGGCGACTATGAATATGGGCAAACAATTTTAGATTTTTATATGCACATGCGTTAACATTCATTTGCATTGTTCATCGGGATAATTACAAACAGTATGGACAGTCTATTATTGTAAGAATAAATATTGAATTAAGATTTTTAAACATTAATTTAAGTGAAAGCAAATTGTTCAACTTTAGCTTCGCGGGCTACTTTCAAAACCTTTGCAGTTGACAGGTCGACCGCAGTCTACGTGTTGGCCATCCCTGTTTTAATGGCATCATACAATTACAATTAAAAATAAGAAACAGCAGTAATTGCAAGTAGACCATGAGCTGCATTTTGCACCAGCAGTAATA